GTATAACAGGATGGATTTTAATTTATAATACTGATATATGCTACATGTATATAGCGACATTTATGATTTCATATGCACTATTACTGTGCCTTGTATTTCTGCAGTTAAGGGCACTTTAAGCTACTTTAAAATGTAATGTTGAGGGATGCTGGCTCCCCCCCCCCAAAAAAACAAAAAAAAAACAAAACAAAAAACAAGAAAATGGTCACACTGCAGCTCTTTTTCAGTGTCTTTCTTTTAACCACTCAAGTGAAACAGACAAGCCAAATACTTTGAATTGGTGCTAACTAGCCAAGTGAGACAAACTGACAGCTGCTCCCATGCCCACAGCCTTACATTCTTTCACTCACAGCTTGTCTGTGTCATCTATAACAAGATGGTGAAATGAATCTGATGCATGTAACAAAAACTGAGTAACCCAGCATGCTCTTATAAATAAGCTTATCAAATGTGTTCAGTACACAAATAATGTTAATGTTAAAATGCTTAAAAATGAAAACATACATATGGAAATGATCTAAGATACGCTAAAAAAGATAATTCCATCATACTAAGACTATTACTAAGACCAAGAATAATGCTTATGTATTGCAATTATAAAATTTTAACCTTAACCACGAGCAAACCTTTTTAAACACACTATGCATTTTGCAGTTCTTATCATAAAACCACATGTGCATTGAGAATGACTTTAGAAATAGTTTGATATAACAAAGAATTTACATTAAAAATGTACATGTTTCCATGATTTTTCTTTCTGACGACACCAAAACATGTTTAAATAGAAATGGAGAGGGCAAAGAGGTTGCTGCCCGTCTGAGGAGAGCTGTATGTGTGATCATATGAATATTAACATTACCTCAACAGTATTTTGAGTGTCACAGACACACACACACACACACACACACACACACACACACATATATAGAACAAGAGAGAAAGATGGAGAGTAAAGACTTCTCTTTTCCAAGATTTGACAGCAGAGAAAAAGAAGTGACATTTTGACATTTTAAGTATATAGGCAACTGGGGACCTCAGATGTTAATAAATGGGATCCCTTCCAGACATTTCTTAAGACATATAAGTTAACTTGTCAAAAAACTTACTTCTTTCTTTACTAAAAAAAACCTGGGTCTATAAATATGCTAATATTGTTCATTTCCACAGTTTAACTACTAGGCAAAAGATGTCTTCTGTTGAAAAGACAATTGTACATGCACTGTTGGTTTCACATAATAGGCTGTCTCACGTTAGTTGCATACTTCAGCTTCAAATTTTCCACATTCTTTATGAGATTGTGCACAATGAAAATTGAACATCTGAGGGAACTAAATTTTTTTTTTTTGCGATTAAAGATGGATAATGTACCACAGAGTTCAGACATTCTTCTGTCTGATTCTATCTAAAGTAACAGCTTATCTGTCAGTTTGTATCTTACAAAAACTATTAAAAAGGTCACAGAAGATTTTTTTTTTCTTTTCTAGACAATTTTGAATGTTGTGTCTGTCTAATGTTCAGACAAAGGTCTTTATTGCTGCATTGAAAAAGCCAACTGTAGAATTTGGTTCATCGGGTCTTGCAAAAATTGGTGCTGAAGAAACAGACGGTTGCCTCGCTTAAGTCAAAAATTGCAGCCTTGCAATGATACAGCTCCCACTGTGATTCTGGCTGTGGCCATGGCCGTGCTTTGGTTATTGGATTCTTGTTGTAACACATAAATATTGACTTCATGCGGTCGTGTGGGTGCAGTCATTGTTCTGCTGGCTCTGTATCAAAACACCAGTGGTGTGTTGGTAATATATAGCTGATAGATTCAGTCCAGGTTCAACTAGTAGGACACCTGGACATATTCATATTAAAATGGATTTAACCACAGACGCAGGTGAAGTCATAATAACAACAACTGTATCCCGCCCCATCTTCACATGGATCAGTCAGGCAGAGTAGCTGCAGCTGTGTTCACAGCCAGGAGCTGTGGACTCTTGGAAATAAGCTTCACATCATGGAAAGCATTACATTTTCTCCCCTTTTACATTGTTAAAGGCAAACGTTATTGTAAGGTAAACATTCCCCACTTGTGACTTTTTAGAGGTCAGGTACTTCTTAAAGTCCACTCAACACCAAAGCGTGGTGTGTGATGTGGCATTATTACATCATAGCTGGACATGCAGGTGTGGGTCAGCTTAACATAAATGCAGAGCAAATGCAAAGGCACCAGCATCCCTCTCTGTCAGAGGATGACCCTTGGACTGTTTCCTGATGAATGAAACACACTCATTTTCTAGCCTCATTGGCTACAAGTGCCAAGGGCCTCATTTAGGTCTGCTGGCATTGAAAACGCATACATACACAACTATTGCACTCACTCATAACTAATGCACACTCAAGTAAAGATGTGCACATTTTGACTCAAATTAAAACATAAAAAACCTCTGCATATTTTCACACACAAGCTGTGTACGTGTGCAACTGTGGGTCTTTAATGTGTGCTCTTAGCATTTGCAGATTTTCACAAACTGGGTGACAGCTTTCTTGTTTCACAGTAAGGGCTGTGTCGGCAGTAGGGGCTCACGGGTGACAAGAGATATTGATAAAATCATTTGTCACCCTGTGAACATTTCAGAGAGGCTGTGGGCAGAAAATAGCTGCTAACTAGTTTTCAAGGATGTCGAATGAAGGAGTCAGTCTGTATACTGCTGTCACTCTAGTGTCTGGTTGAGGTCAGGGTGAGCATGCATCACTTTGAGTCTGTCCGAGCTGTGGAGAGGTCGTACTGAGGCTGTGAACCTGGTGATGCAGGCAGTATGGTCTCCCTGTAATTGAGTTTGGGATGGAGAGAACATGAGAGATAAGCGGGAGCACACTGATGGTATCTAAAAACAGAAGACAGTGCTAGAAGCTGCAATGTCAGAAAATATATTCAAATAAGACCGGAATTTGAGAATTAATTTATTGAGCTTTCGGATTAATCGTTACACACTTATAATCCAGTTGGACTAAGATCATTATGTATGATTATCCACTGACAAAATAAAAAGTGTTGTAGGCAGTCTAAAATGCTTGAACACACACACACACACACACACACACACACACTCCTGAACATGTGACTTACTTTAATATCATTTCAGTGTTAACATGTCCAAGGGCACAGTCTTGTAATGTCCCCTTGATTGATGTGTCACTACCTTTTTAACATCAGCTAGTCTGAAGGTCAGTTAGGCAAAGAATCAGCTAAAAGAAGCTTAGCTAGAAGGTACAGATGTCAAATAAAGGCAATGTGGCACAGATTAAACTGTTTTTAGAATAGTTACACTGAGGAAGAACCTCTAATGGTTTGAAAGTAAATTCAAAAGAACAATTCATGATTTTTTTTTTTTACTTTAAGTAGCTTTCAACCTTTTCCTCACATGTGGTTTTGTAAATATTCACAAAGTGACAACATCCTCACTTTCTGGAGTAATATAAAAGCATGCACTTTTAAAATTAAGCTGCCTTTATCCTAATTTGTTGCGATCCATCGGGTTGTTTGCTAATTAAATGACACCAGAGACAGATTCTGAAAACACAGAGGGCTTCTTTGGAAAGGCATATTGTACATTTGCACTTGTTCTGTAATGAGACTAATTACAATATTTTTCATTCAATAACACAAAATCACTTGTGACTGCACACGTTTGGGAACATGTATGTAACCTGCTGTTTTTCTGATACTTGGCACCAAAGGCAAAGGGTGCATTTTAGAGGAAATAAAAACATGTCAATTGATTCCATTGCACAAATTCAATATCATTTCCATGAAGACTTTCAATCTCCTACCCCACAGGGATGGATATAAAGGGTGGATAAAATAAGAGAAAATAAGAGAAATACCACATGAAAAGAAGCTTTGAAGTAAGTGAATCACAAAAGCAACTATTCATGCGAGTCATATCAAATAAGTTGAATGCCATGTAGCTTTTAAAAAGGTCTGACAGACAGCACTTTTATTAGTGAGCTTTTAAGACATCACTAGGGTTTCAAAGTTTCAAAGATGCCAAAGAGTCAGCGCCGGGTTCATGGTTGCATTGGTCAAAAAAAAACCAACAACTCCAGGATGATTTATTGTGACAGGGATAATAGACGTATTAAATTATGACAACATATTGCCAATGCAGGGAAACAGTATCATCAGCCTAGAGGAATAGTGTTTGCCAGTAAAAGCTTTCTGACACTGCGACAGCAGTTCACACCAAATGTAGAACAGACATGTAGTAGAAGTTACATGCATGAGTTGAGCTGTTCACTCCAGAGGCATATATCTGTGTGCAGTCCAACAACGCTCTTAGATACAAAAAGAAAAAAGGAAAAAAAAAAAAAAAAAAAAACGCCTGACACAAAGGTAAAACGTCTAGTGAAAATAGACTTTTTGTGAACATAGGCACCAGCATAGAATAACTACTGAGAGTCATAAGCTTCTTTTTAGTTTTACACTTCAATAGTTCTAGCTCCTTTTTCAACTATATCCACAGCCTAAAATCAAGTAATTTCTCATTTCACTGTGATGGGGTAAAGTCTACAGGAGTATCAAGTTTCTCTCTGTCCATCTCCATCAATGAGGTTATTAACTGACCAGTTTATTTGCCAATGTGTTAACTGGACTTAATTCCACACATTTAGATGTGTTCTGATGCCAAACCTTGAAAAATTTATCAAAAGTGTTCTTTGATTTAAAAAAAAACCAAAAAAAAAACCAGGCAAATTATCAGAATTTTCTCTGAACCAAAAAGATGTTTTCTTGATAATGTCCTTGTTTTCAATGGGTTTAGCGGTTTAGACATAGGTGTGAAATTATACATTATTTCATATCAATGAAATATGCATGACAAGCAAAACAAATCATTTTTTACACATTTCTATGTGTGCATCTTTTTCTCTGAAAGCATCAGACAAACCATGCATATCTCTTTGACCAGGAAAGAAAATCACCAAGGTTGAGCCAAGCTCTGCCTAAGTCTTACTTGCCAGCTCAGTCAAGATCCAAGGGGTTTTAATCATCCACATATTAGCTTTCAATCCACCAAAATGCTGGACCTGCAAATAAAAGAGGATAAATGTAAGCAACCTTTAAAATAGATTTGTAGCAATACAGTTTCTGTCCACTCCATTCCCCGGGCTCCATGGAATAGAGTCTATGAATAATGCACATTTTTGGAAAGATCATGATGCATCTACTCAGCTACCAAAAATGCAATTTTTTTAAACCCCCAGGATAGAGTACACCTAATTCAAAATTCTCTTTACTGTTTCTAAATAATCATTGAGTCATCTTGTTAGTTTTCCTTTCAACTACTTCCTCAGCACTCTCTGCTGATGCTGATATTTTAGTACCTCTGAGACCCTCCATCTAACAAGAGGGACTTTATAGTATGCTACTGTATGTCGGAAGAGCTCATTCCTCAGGGACGACGGGACAGTCAAAGCCATAAAACTTCACAAACACACTGCAAAACACATATGCACACAGCACACACACAAACACTCAGAGCCTGAACACACAAACACGGACACACAGAGGACAGACCCTGTTGAATAAATTATGGGGGACAAAAGCAAATGGAGATAAAGCTCTCCATCCTGCATGGCATCCATTAGTATAGTGCAGGAACCCTGAATCTAAATAAGTGTATGTTTGATCAAGTGGGTTGTTACTACAGTAACAGGCAATCATAACAGCCATTCCTGATTAAAGATTTCTCATTTACACAAAATTGCCAGTAAGTATGGTCTCTGTATTACGGTTACATTGAATCCAAAGACATACCAGTTAATAGCCACAAAACACTGCAAACATAGATATGTCTTTCTCATATTTAATGCAAAGTTAAACTGAAAAGACTAGAGCGGAATAGAATGGACATCAATGAGTTATATACAGTTTAATACAATTGAATACATTTAATAATTATAACAGCAATAATAATAATAATTTCCCCCACTAGCCCCAGAGCTTTTTGACAACTGGCAATTGGCACAGATTTGGTGATCTTTGGTGAGTTGGTCTATTTATAGCAGATGTAGTTGACTCAAAATAAACTCATCGAAAGGAGGGGAGAGGTGACTTTGCACAACAGTGTAGCTCACGGAAGAAAAAAGGAACCTGAATAGTTTAGCACTCATGAACATGTCATGAATCTTGATGATATGTAGGAATATAAATAGAATATCATTTATCATCAATAATAAAAGTATACCTCAATCCAAGTCTATAGCTGTAAATAACACATACGTGTTTAAAATTGGTAAGCAATGACAAGATCCCTTACTGGAATAAGTAAGTTTATCAATAAATATTGTAACACAATTAGTTGAGGGAGAAGTATTCAGTGCTATCTGTCTTAAACTTTGCTAAAAATGACCAATTATGTCGACAAAGTAGATGATAGAGATGATGGATATGGACTATGTGCTATAATCATTATCACTGTTGTTATTATCAACAACATCAATATTGTAACCACCCTTCCACCCCCACCTTCTATCCTCCAAAGAGAGCACAGAAAACGCCTTCTGACTTTCCTCTTCCTCTGACAAAGATCTACATTATTACATTTTTAAAAAGCATGTTTCGATCCTGTATTTTAAAAGACGTATGTGTTTTTTTCTAATTAAGAAAAAAGTCTGGTCTGTCAGGGACAGCTGCGACTTTGATGGTGTTTGGACATTTGTAGGATAAGAAAGTATGATGTGTTTCTTCAGTCAGTATGCTATATTTTGTAATTTAACTACAAGGTAAGAAATAGCAACCCATGGATGATCTAGAATAATAGAATAAATGCCAAGCCTTGAAAATGTGTCCCCAATGTTATCAAAATTATACATTGTTATTTTCTAAACATCGTTATGCAGTGTGTTATTTTAAAAAATGGTCTAAACAGGTAAGGATAGTGACAGTTTGCAAATAAAAAATAGCTAATAAGAAAAAAAAAACAAGATAAAAATGTAGTCTAATACAGACAAGCAGCACTAAGGTGTTGTAGTTAAATTAAAAGGAACAACACTTATTTGTACCAGATTAAACCCATACTCAGCCTTAAAAAAAAAGAAAACAAGCCATGTAGCCTAACAAAGTCTTACTTCACTGTTTTCTGTCCAGGATCTCAGCATATTTTGACCAGCAGGTCACACTACATTACCCACTAGAAAAGACCAGAAAGGCATGTCAGGATGATTCAACTGACTACACATCCACTCGTTCAATTAAGGTCTTTGGTGGGGCTGGCCCGTGTGGTTTGCAGTGTGGTAAATGCATCTCCCAAAGGAGCAGTAAGTGCTGAAATCAGCTCAGCTGAGCCTTCCATTTGTCATTATCTAATGGTAAATCCATGTGTGTCTAGTAGAAGGCTCTCACCAACCAGTAAGTGACACTAAGAGAAAAAAAGGAAAAAAAGAAACACGTTGTATACACAATAAACACCTTTGTTAAAAATTTAATGTCTATAGACATGTTAGAGCAAATGTGTGCATACTGTTCCTCTTTTATATTGTATTTTACTACTAAAAGCGGTATGATTATATCAAGAGCTTTAAAAGATCCATGAAATCTCTCAACTTTGCTTTGATGTGTTGTACAAGCACACATGGATTCCAAGCTATATTTTCTACTAAAAACAACAGAATGAGGAAGATAATGATGACGAGATAAAACAAATTAACAGACTTAAAAGTAGGCATTTAGATAGAATACAATTATCTGGAACAAAGAAAGCCATTTCATAATTCTCTCAATTACATGATCTGGGACTTAATTAAATTAGAATGTGACCAAATCTATGTTATTAATTAATACATGCCTCAGCTATGTGCACAGTTTGTTGGTAGACAATATAAGGGCTTACAGGCTTTTCTGGAAAATTCTGATTTTTTTCTCCATGTGTGTGTGTGTCAGTGTGTGTGTGCGTGCCTGTGTATGTTTGAATGCCTGTATGTGCTAGTACAGTTGATCATCACGCCTACTGACAACCAGACTTGCTTGAAATATGGTGTCTGATGGTATGATGTCATACTGCCAGATCTTCTTATCTGCAATTCAGAAACCGGTGCAGGATGAGGTCTGTCTATTGTAACAGAATAGTTTCATCTGTAGTGTTTTAGAGTGATGCAAAACATAGCTATTTTCAAGTCCAATAGAATTGGAAGCCCTGCAGGGCTGAAGGCTAAGAGAAAAATGGGATACATCACAGACTACAGCATGTAGCATTGTCCTCAACATATTATCCCTACAAAAGATTCACTGTAAAAGCATTATAATTTGCTGTTTAAAAGAAACACTTTTACAGACCTTGGTTAGCACAACAGTTTGAAATGCTGCTGAACCGAGGATGCCGCACAGGAACTCGTTGCAGAGTGGAATTAGTGCAATCAGGGGAGATATGGAATTAATATGTCTGATTAAGTGCCTGACTAAATTAGCATTTGGAGTCCAAAGAGATTTCAAACACGAGGGGAGGAATGAGATATGTTCTGAGAAGAAGAAAGGCTGACAGATTGCACTATAGAGGATAATAGAGTAGCTAAAACAACAAGACGGAGGGAAATGATAGAAGGAACAGTTATGACTCTTGGTTTTACTCAGATCAGTCGTTAAATAATTTTAACAAATAAAAAAACAACAACAGAATTTTGTTTTCTCCTGATCTGCTTGCGGAATGGATTCACACTCGTTGCCTTATCTTAGATTTTCACCAATACAGAAAGCAGCTGTCAGTTGTTCATGATGTGAGAGGTAATTGGTTTGGCCCCATCAAAAAAGTTAGTGCCTTCAAAGACACTATGATCTGTTTTCATGTAGACCCAGTAATTAGGAACTGAATGACTACATGGAGATGGTTATACTTAGAGAACAAAGACATTAAGAATTAAAAAATGTGACAAGTATTTAGAGACAGGCAAATAAGGACACAATACCAACACTTATGAAAAAAAAAGGTGATGAAAAACAGAGGGAAAAAGTAGTACGAGGAGATGAATGGAAGATGAAAGAGGAAACATGACTCGCCCCTCGGAGAGAGAGAGAAATAAGTTATCAATATGGTGTTTCTTCCTTAAAATGTCTAACTTGAAATTCTGGTGAAAGCCGGAGAAAAAGGCATGAGAACAGATGACGTCTTGATTAACAGAGGAGGCACAGAACAGTAAGCAAAACAGCATATGCAATGCAAATCTATTTGATCTGACACTGAAATTGAATCTGTGCGCGGTCCCTCTTAATTAACAAAAAAAAAAGAGAGCAAAAGTGAAAGAGAATAAAAAGAGGACAAGATTACTCTTAAAAGAACAGAGTGAAGCGATCAAGGTAAAAAGCGCAGCCAAGGAATAAAATGCAAGGTAAGACAGAGAAATGAAAACCTTCGAGCAGGAGAAAAGGTGAATACAAATTAAGAAGAAAAGGCAAAGTGGTATGTGGATTACTTTGGGCAAATGAGTGATATATGAGCAAAGAGGGTGAGAGACACATGGGGAAAGAGAAGAGTGGAGAGCAGTAGAATTCTTATTATTTATTTCATTTTGTGGTGTGATGGCTGTTGAGAGAAGTTTGCTTTCATGACTTTGCACCAGAAAGGCTTTCTAAAAGAAAGCTTTCAATTCTTTTATATTCGATTCAGTTTTCTCTTACAGTTTGAATAGGTTTAGTCAACAAAACTCTGGTTAGGTGTAGGGAAGAATAATATCCACCCATTGTCTTAAACTGCTTGTCCAGCTAAGGGTAAAGGTATGCCGGAGCCCGTCCGAGCTGTCATAGGGGGAAAGGTGGTGTGCACCAGTTTATTGCACATCTAACACATAGAGACAACCGTTCGTGCTCAAATGAACACCTGGGCAATTTAGCATCACCAATCAGCCTAGCATGCATGTCTGTGGGAAGAAGCCAGAGTACCCAGAGAGAACATGCAAACTCCACACAAAAAGGCCCAAGCAGGTTAATGGACATGTTTGTTTCAGTATATTTCCAGTCAGTGGGTTTAAACCAGGAATTCTCTTGCTGTGACAGCGTAACCACTGCTCCTACGGGCATCGTGCCAGAAAAGAGTCAA